CTATTTTTTATTTTTTTTTATTTCAGAAATCACCTTGTGGACCTGCCAAATGTGAAAAACGATCAGTCTTTGTACAGTATGGGGTCATATGTGTGGCGGTGAATGTTTGATGAGAATGAGTATTTATTTATGCGAATATGCCATATAAAAATCAGCATATTCATGTGTTGCTATAAATGTAAATGACTATGCAGGGAAACCTATAAACCATATCTGCTCATAGGACATGTTCCTCCCCGCTCTGATGTCAGGGAGCTTTGTACTGTATCAAAATCCAACCGTCCCTCAGAAAGACAGCGCCGTCTCAATGGCTCTCCATAATCGAGGTGCTTTTGCCGGAATTATCCTACAATGTAGGAATCTTATAACATACACATTATTTGTAAATAACAAAAGGAATTTATTCATGGTGTCTGAACAAAGTGGTGTATTTAATATAATTTACTTGCTCTTTGTTTGAGCAAAGCCAACTGGTCGTACTTTGACGAGTAACATCAGGGTTTGTGCACAAATAGTTTCTTTACTTATTTGTCACAACCCCCCCACCCCCCCTCAATGCTATTATCTGTTATGTAATAAAAAAAAAAATAATAAAGCGTATAAATGATGTAAACGCATGCATTTATTAATAGAACTTTTACAACACATTACAAGAAATAAGAGGATTTACATGTTTGTGTAGGCTGAAACAGTTTTGCAATCAGTTATCCTTAAAACACTTGTCTGAACTGGAATAACAACATAAAAAAACTTCTTTTTTTTTCCCCTAAGATTTATTTTTTGGCTCTTTTTCCTTTTTGTTGTTTCGTGCCTTTTTGCGAGTACTTTGCTTCCAGATCTGACAGCAAACTGTTGAAATTCCTCTCTCTGGACTGCTGGTTTTTCTGCAAAAACGTGGAAGAGATTAAAGTCAGGCCAGCCGAGCAGAACCCATTGCATTTTTTTTTTTTTTTGTAGGGACGCGATACCTTTAGCATCATGACAAGGCTCTCCTCGTCCTCGCCGAGCCCCATTTCTTTCTGCATTTCCTCGGCTTCTTCTCGCTCCCGGTCAGCCTGAGGGATCAGTTCCAAACCGACGCCGTTAGCGAAGTGGAAAGATGACAGGCGTTTGTCTGTGCGTGTGCATGTGTTGCGCAAGAACAGGAAACGGTTCAGTTCTCACCCTCTTTCTCCGAGCCCTCTTCTTCGCCTGACTCTCCTTCGTAAAAGCTCGGAAGGCCTCCACCTCTCCGCTCTTGATGGCAGCCTGGATGATGCGGCACAGCCTGGGCTCGTCCTCCTGAGAGCTGCAGAGAGCCGACGCCGTGATGGCATCCATGTCCCCCTCGTGCTGCACGTACAGCCGGATCACGTCCTCCCGCTCTTCGTCGGATCCCTTGTACTTTTTCTCAAATTCGAGGATGTCCTGCACTGTGATCTAGGAGAGGAACAGAAAGACAGATCACCGTAACAGGTAGCCTAATTCTGACTCCAGGGTTGTTGTTTTTTTTATGTGTTTTTTTTTTTTTCTTAATCAGGAGCAAATATTTAAAATGGAGTTACTTTCATACAGACGCACAAACAAAGAAAAACAAACACTTTTCAGCAAAGTGAAGAATGGTTTTCTGTTTGACTTAGTGTCTCACACACTCAATACAAAACAAAAATCCCACTAAATAAATAAACTTTTTTGATGCATTTCAAGGTTGGAATGACGATGCAAGAAAACAAACAAAAAAAAAAACAAAAAAAAACAAAAAACTTGAATAATGAAAATTATGCATAAAGACTCAGAAATATACATACACCTTCACTGATATTCAATGACTCTTAGCAAATTGTACATCTACAAGCATTTTATTGGCCATTAACGAGGTCAATGACCTTATTATAATGTGTGTGACCGCTCTGACAGAATTTACAGGTCTGTTGTTTCTTATTCAGCTTTTGGGCGAAGTTTAGAAGTGTTTTATAGGTTTAGGGCCAGAGCCATTTCAGAGTCTTGATACAAGCCTGCTTTATCAATTCCATTTGGTTCTAGCTGGTTAAAACTAGGTCAAATTTTAATGTTCAGAACAAAAACAGAGTCACCACATCTTGCCTTGGAATAAAGCAACACGTTTTATTATAAAGCAATAACATGAAGCTTAATCTAGTTTAACACTAACCAATTTCAATTGAACTCTATTAGTATCTGATAAGAGTAGTAGTTAAATATCTACAAAATGTGCTGATGCAATAAAAAAGTGTGTGCTTGCCCTGCAACTTGCTTACTGACATTTATCTAGACATTAGTGGGCATGTATGAATATTTTGGATAGAAAAAAAAATTAACTGACAACTACGTCTAGCCTTTCAGTGTTGTTCAAAATGTTTTTGTTATGGTTACTGCATTATTTTAAATCCATCATAACTGAAATTGATAAAAAAAGAAAAAGTAAACTAATAATCTATCAGCAGTTAATGCACACAAGGCTTGAGGTTAATAAATGCACACAAATAAACGGGCATTGCATTAAAACAGCTTTGATAGCAAAAGAAAAAACTTCTGTGCATGTGCTGCTTTTGGGACGTGACCACTGTTGTATTTCAGTACCTTGGGGAAGAGCAGTCTCCAGTATTCTTCCCAGCAGCGGTCCTGACTGAGGACGTCCGACTCTTCATCCACCAACCCCTGCTCATCATACACGGCCCTCTGCTCCTTGTCGCTCAGTACTGCATAAAGCTTTCCCAGCACCTACGGGTAAATTTTTTTACACTCAAATGTAACCGTGAATTAACAGTCCGAAACATTTCTAGTCAGCATTGAAACTCGATTCTTAAACGTGTCGGCGCCGCAGCACTGACGGAAAACATGCAATAAATATGTTTTTGAGACAGCTAATGTTGGGTTTTTTCAGACGTTATCGCAAATATAAGTTAGCTTCAGTTAGTTATGCTAGTTCCTAGCTTGCCAGTTTTGAAAGCTGACCTGAAACTTCTCTGTGGCTTGCGGGTCGTCTGGAGCCCTGTCTGGATGGACTTTCAGCGACACTTTGTAGTAGTTCTTTCGGATGTCTGCCTCACTCGCCTCTTTGTTTACACCCAGAACCTCGTACAGATTGGAGGTGTTGAACAGCTCCCGACACCGCTCGAGCAAACCCATCGTAGAAGAAAGAGTCCTGGTTTAACGGGGTAAGTTGGTACAGGGTCTAGTTGGCACAGTGTCCACACGATCTAAATCGATTATTTGACGGCAATACTTAAATAATTGCTCAAGTATTCTCCGGGTCCTAAGCTGTTAACGTCACTTTGGCGCGCTGGCCTATCCTTTACATCCGTACGTGCAGGGACGCGCTTACGTAACATTGTACGCGTTCTTTCATTGGTTGTACTCAGAGCCTGCCTTTTTTTACGTAGCATTTTTTTCCTGTTTCACCCCTCCTCGGCCCTCAATTAATACACTTTATGGAGTAATTAAACTGCAATATGAAGAAATGCATAATTAGTAAAATATGGGGGGGCGGGGGGGAATAGAATGATATTCGAAATAAATTTAACAATCTCTGAGATTCAAACAACGTAAAGAAAAAAAAAAGAAAAAAATGTAGAGTTACCTCTCATTTCTTTATCCTGACCGAGAAATGACCAATTTCAGGTTTGCTAATAGAGTCCAGCAGATTTGAAATAACATATTTTGCTATTAAATTCCATCAGAGCTTCCAAGGTTTTTTGGAAGAGAAACTTGCCCCGCAGCATCTATGTGTGAATTACTGTCATGTTGTTACAATATGCTTAAAGACCTTTGTTTCATTTTGACACCACAAATAGAAAATATGAAAACAAAACAAAAAAATGTTTTGAAAAAAATATATTTTGCATATTGGAAGAAAGCTATTAAGAAATCCAGAAAACAATAAGTAGGTGAAAAATACAATGAACGTATAAATGATCAAACTCATTATACAAATTACTGCAGTTTATTGAGCAGTTCAATTGCTATTACCAAAGTTATGTATTGAAGTACTGAAGCAAAGAGTGGAATCTCTCAACACAATTTGCCAATTGTAATTTACCAAAAAGGCCTTTTCTGTCCTAACATCACAAACATAACCATTTAAAATTTTGCTGGGCAACAGACGGTGTAGGTGGATTTTGCATGAAACAAAGGATGAATGCTGAGTGTGGAAAAGCAGTCATGCTAAGTATGGTGGAGGATCTGTGATGATGTGGCTCTGTTTCTATTCCAAAAGCCATGAGAACATCATCATCATGGCATCATGCACACTTTGAAATACCAGTGCATTAAAAAACAAAACAAAACAAAACAAAACAAAACAAAAAAAAACATGTGGTTGACTCAAACATTAAATGAAACGTTTCTTTTTGTTTGTTTTTCATTTAGTTTTTCAACCAGATAATACTGCGTTGCTGAATCAACACTGATTTAATTTATAAGACACAAATTTAGTTTTCTTCCAGCAGTTAGTGGTCATCATTTTCCCCAAACCTACTCAGAAGTAGAACACATAGAGACATTGTGTAAAGAGGAATCTCTCTGACAATGTTGCTCCAACTTTGTGAATTGTTCAATAGTGTTATAGGGGAAGATAAATTATCCTGTTGGATTAATGGGGCTGTTCAAATTAAGAACAGCAGGGTTATAAACAATTGTGCTAACAATGATTTTGTTAAAAATTAATATTTTAACACATAGTCTTTTCCCCCTTTGATAAATTATGCTCAAGTCAAAGAGAAGATTTGTCTAAAACTTTTAGTGAGACTACAATAAAACCTCAATTTATTTTAAGGCTTTTGACACATCTTTATTGGGGCTGATCAAAAAGGCATCCGGTACTGTACACTTACCGTACCTTCTTGTTAGAGAACTTAGATGCTTAGTCTCTCTTACAGTGCATTTGTTATCACCAGTTCCAGGCAATGCAAATTTCTCTGGCCAGAAGGTATAAGTTAACTTGAGCTGTTTGATGGAAGATTTCATATTTTAGGCTTTATACAATATAATCCATCACCCAGGAGTACACAGATACCTTAGTATTTATTGATGACTTTGAAGCAGCACAAGAATACATCAAAGACAATGAGGCAAGCCACTAGAAATTTCACACTGCTTCATGCGAAAGCAGAACACAAAGACAAACACAGACTTTGAATTTAGCATCTTCAAGATCATTTCCACCTGTGTTTATTAGTTTGTACAAAATGCAGCTCTGCAGGTGCATGCTGCGATTCCCTACGTCTCAGATCTTCTCTCATTATTGCCCCATCTGCTTCTGTTGCGTCTTTGGCACAGTCTCCTTTGTTGTTTTCATAATGACTTTCTGTCATCTCAAACCTTGCCCGTCCATTGTACCCAGACACAGGCAAAAAAAAAAAAAAAAAAAAAGCATTTGGATAACTGGCATGTCATTGTGAGGATCTGCAACGAGGAACAAAATGACAAGAGCACAAAAGTTTTGTAAATGTTATGAACTTTTGCTGGTGTGTACATCCTTCCCTAATTCTTGCCGTCCACTTGCATTGATAAAGTGGAGTTTGTGTGCGACCACTTTTTTCTTCAAGAGAACATTTCTTCTTTTTTTTTTTGTTTGTTTGTTGCAAAATGCCTCCTGACAACAATCAAATGGCTTGAGCTCTTGGTCTCTTTACAGCATGTCCGGGGGCTGATGCACTTTCCCGTAAACCGGGACAACCTGTGAGCCTCCTCTAGGGGGCGGCAGCTCAGCATTCCTTTCTGGTCTTCACCATCTTGCTGGCATACTTGATAGGGATCCCCCAGCGTCTCATTAGATACACATCAAACACATAGGCCACTCCTGGCTCCAGGCCCCCGATCACAGCTGTAGTGACGGCCCGTCGAGGATTCAGCTCTTGGAAATACTTGCAGAGAACCCTTTCAGTGTCGGAGCGAGACTCTGGGCCCAGACAGGGCGCGGTCAGAGCCGATGCTCCCCCAGCTTCTGCATCAAAGCCACTGAGCTTTCTGCGGTATACACAGTACAGACTTCTTTCCTCCGTTCCCATCCAGGCCAGTGTGACGCTGTTGCAACCTCGCAGCCGGTTGAAAGATTTTATCTGCAAGGTGGACGGCAGAGATGGGACCCCTCTGCGGTGGTAGGCGGATGAAACTTGCATTTTGACCGAAGCTTTCAGAGCTGCTAGTCGAGCTGCGTCTTTAACAGAAGTTACTTTGCTCATTGCAGTTCCTTCTTGTTGTAAGTGGATAAGATAGGATGGACTTCCTTGGAGCCAAATGTGGATTAACTCTGCTTCCACACCCTGAGTGGTCAAAACCCGTCCCTTACTGGACACAGTTACCTTCATCTTTTCACCCCCACCACAGCTCTGCAAGGTGAGGAGGCCACTCTGCTGCCATCCCCGAGGACGGAAACTGAAGAACTGCTGCGAGTCTGAGCCTCCGTCCTGAAAGGTCACCCACCTTAGCTCACCTTCTCTCAGAGGCAGGACTGCAGCTTGAGCTTCCTCGTGCGTCCGCGCAGAAGCCCCCTTGTACGCCGCGCTGGTCCCGTTCACCTTATCCAACACAAAAACGTCAAAGTAATACGAGGTGTCAGGCAGGAGCTCGGAGACCGTGCAAACGTTCTCCGTCCCCTGACACGCGCACTGAAGATTATCAAAATCATCAGCAAGTGAAGACGGCAGACTCTGGGACTCGGGATAACTCTCCCACTGCTCCCACCACCACTCTTTTAAGATCGGCCATGGTGTTGCTTGCCTCTTTTTCTCCTTCTTGCCTTGACTCCGATCTTTCTCCCCTCTCTCCCTCTCTTGAGCAGCGCAGAGGCTGGGGTAGTTTTGCAGAGAGTTAACGAGGACGCAATAATCGTAACCGTTTTTGGCTTTTGGGAGGCTTGTTATGGAGGCACTGGGCTGCCAGCTGAGGGTGACACTGGTCATACCAACTCCTAACTTGTGAACTCGCGGGTCAGCTGGTAGTCGAGGGAATATGCCTGAAGGCCCTTGGCCTTCGTGGAGGAAGACCGTAGCTCTGGTGCTTTGCAGTTCTGAACGCAGCCTCACGACGTAGACAGAAGCGCTGAGATGTGAAGGGCCGTTGTAGGCGTCCACTGTGTCACCGGTGAAGCTGTGGATTTTCTCTTCTGTGCCAGGGCCTCGCCACCACACCTCGGGCGTGCTTTTCTTGGTGCTCCCTGGAGGAAAAGAACATGAGTATTTAATTCTACATTGAAGTCGAACTCATCTTGAAAACAGATGTGCTTGTTTTGAACCAAATTATCGCTTTAACTTACTTAACTATGCGCATCAACACTAAATAATTAAGACTAGTGAGAACTTCAAGGAAAGGAAATTACATTGAGCTGAACTTGCACTACCGATCCCTGACAGTTTCTGAAAAATATTTAAGAGCCTTTGGATTTTCAACAAATACTTTTTGCTACATTACCTCCCTAAATCTTAAAAAATACAAACCGGCTCTCCCGACAGTGGTTTGTAAAAGTATACTGTACTCTTCAAATATATTCATATTTTGTTATATTACAACCACATATGTCTTATTAGGATTTTATGCGATAGGTCGTAACAAGGTAGTGCATAATTGTGGAGCAAAAAGCAAGGAAAATGTGGGTTTAATCATTTTTTATGAAGGTAATATAAGTAAAAGTTTGTTTCTCTATTAGGTTTGCTCGTCAAGGATCTGACATTTTTGCCAAATTTTCGATGCAAAATATCTTTTTGCACATCAGTTTTTAAGTGTTGCCACAGATTGGAATCGACTGGGACGTTCCAACACATGATTAAACTTTCATTGAAGCTGTTCCATTGTAGCTCCGGCTGTATGTTTTGGGTTGTTGTCTCGCCAAAAGTTAAACCTCAAGCCAAGTCACTGTAAAGATTTTACAGGGTTTGTTTCCGGCTTTGGCCTCTTTACCTTCGTCTTGTTCCCGTTAATTCTAGGTAACGTCCCTGTCACCGCACAAGCAAAGCACACAGGACAGTGTTGCTACCCATATTTAGTAGTGAGAATCTGTTGATTCTTCCACCTTAGCTGTAGATATCAGGCTGCTTGTCCGGTGTAACCATGATCCCGTTGGCTGCTTGTAGTGATTATAGAAGTGTGACGGGCTAAGAACAAATAGATTCTTATTCTTCTCACTTAAGCAGCAAGAGTTATGTCATAAGAATTTGCATTTAGCTGGTGATACTCAAATTTCTATCGACAAAATGACTTGTGTTAGCGTTAGCAACTGCCTACAGGAGTAAATCTGACAGATTTCTAATAAATTGTGTACACAGCAACCCTGATCAATGATTTTTTTTTTTTTATAGCTAGCGTGTATTAGCATCCTAGTGTGTGGAAATTTAGACTGTTTCTCTCCACTCTAAAGATTTTGGCAAAATTATGATTTATAGATGACTATAAGCTGAAATCTCTACCCTAAAAATGATAATTTTACCTGGACTTTGAGTTTGAAATATCTATCTATCTATCTATCTATCTATCTATCTATCTATCTATCTATCTATCTATCTATCTATCTATCTATCTATCTATCTATCCCAGATTATTATAGGCTGCAGCAGCTTGTTTATTATGACAACAATAAATTTTCTATTTTCTTATTTTCTGTTGTTGCTGAATTGCCTTTTACAAAAATCAATTTATCTGTTATGTTTGTTGTGTTTGTATCCAAAGGTGGGTAAAGGAAATACAATAGCTTAATACTGAAAATATCTTGGAATTCAATCAAACAATCAAACTGTGCACATATCCATATAATATCTACTTACGTTATGAAACCAAAGGCATAGCTGCAAACCCTCTTCAAACTGCACACAACTCATAACCCAGATGTCGAAAACTCCTCTGCACCTAATTAATGAACAGCCGCATGAAATGTCGAATGCCACTTCAAAAATTACTGCCTTTCATTCAGGCAAAAATTGTTTTTGTTGTGGACTATGCCAGCTCCTCATCTGAAAGATGCAATGGACGAATGCACACACACACACACACACACACACACACACGCACGCACACACACACACACACACACAAATAAAGCAAAACACCACCACTTGTTTTCTCAGTTCATGTCTCCTGGAGCTGAAAAATCCCTCCTCAGTCGAGACCAAATGTTACAGAATCAAAGTGAATAATTCACGCTGGCGATGGAAACCCACAAGCTCAGAGTCTGAATGATTTATGTGTCATTTTAGAACTTCATAATGTAATCTTTGTATGTGGGAAAGCTGGCTCAGGTAACCTTTGCAGGTTACCAGACACACTCGCACAAAACAAAATCAAACATGCTTTTTGTGTCCCACCATCTCTGCCTGTTCAGTACCAAAGAATGATTTATTCTTGGTTTATTTTGAATTCCTTGATTGCGGATCGAATCTAATGTAGATTTCTGTTGCGAGTTTACTCAACACGCTTGTTTACAGAATCTTGCTGGACTGCAGAGCCCAGTAGTATGTCGTCGCTCTAGAAGTATTAAAATTAAACAGAGTGTAGCCGTTTTCAGTGTTTGTTTTATGATACCTTAAAAATAGAAACCCCGAGTCAAAATACACGACAAAGTGGGAACCGGATATAATCACGCAATCACTGGCCCTGTCTGACTTTGAAAGAATGCACAGCACTGTGTATCTTTACTCCTGTTTTCAACTTGAACACTTGGGTAAAATTTACTGATAAGAGCCTAAGATTTTTTTTTTTTTTTTTAAGACAATCACTTTTTAAAACACAGAAATACCCTGCCTGCCACATAAAGTGGTTGCGATATGCAGTAGTAAACAAAAGCAGATGTGAAACGGGTGACATTATGTATTTTCCAGGCCCATACTTTCTTTTTATAGTGTAATCAAGTAACTACGTTACCTTCAGTTGTGACATAAATGCTGTATATATCAAACATAAATTAAAAGAAATTTGAATTTGACGCCTTGACATTGGGCCTCTGTCCCTTTAAAGCGCCTACCCTTTCTGACACGTCACCGCAACAGGCTTCTCATGATGACATTTAGGAGCGATGGGCTGAGGAGTAGATCCTATGATATGCTAAGCAGGTGTGCGGTTCCATCAGGTGTTTGCTAATTGCTGCTGCCACTAGTCTGGTGGAGCTGATTGGGGGAAGGTGCTCAGAAAAGCTGATTTTACACAATGTCCACTACTCCTTTAAACTTAATCCATACAGTAAAGCTGCTTATAAATTCTCCTTCCCAAAGTCACCTCTCTTTTACAAACACAACCCAAGGTAAGATTAGCCATGCCGCTCCCCCCAATTAACCCAGAGAGGGTCACGATAATATCTAATTGATCGTCTCAGCTTAATAAGATTTGGCGATGATCTTCAGGATTTAGGAAGGCGCAGTTTGTTTACTCACACTGCAGGTTTTTGAGCGGTTTGTCCTTCAGAGTCCGAGCGGCCAGGCTCCATTCGATGGGGAGGCTGCAGGGACTCACAGTAACCGACATCGCAGAGGTCTTCTTCTTCAGTGTGAAATATAACCTGCGAACAGGCAGGAAGAGATAGCCAGAGGACCTGGGTTCATTCTTCATGGGACACGTCAAAAGAGATAACATCTTATTTCAATTCAGCTGCAGAGGCGAGATTTTACCCACTGACGTTTGTGTGCCGTCGAGTTCTTTCATTTTGGTGGATGTAGGTTTCTTCTAAATGTATCGACCAAAGCTTGATTTGATGTTGCAAACTTTTCAAGATTTTCTACTTGCATTGTTTCCCCCCTTTCCTACATGCAAATTAGTCATTATTTTTGCAGGAGGTCTAGACTGAGAATCAGATGTGGCCATTAATATCCGTAGCAAGTAATGAAATTCACAATCAACCAGAATGCTGTGTTTGTTGATGCCACTTTAAAACAAAAACAATGCTTTATTGTAATTTATGTACAGTTAGTTTTACTTAATGAGAATTCATAACTGCGTCGGTGAGTCCTAATAAATATTTGTTGTCCTTAAGCAGAAACACAATCATTTATGATCTCGGCCAGATGCCGGCTATTTGCAAACAGATGTGCGGCAATGTCATTTTCAAGGGCACTTAGTTGCTTGTTTAACAGTGATTAATTTCCCCGAATCAGTGTTTCTCTCCATTATTTGCCATGCGGTTCAGCATGACTGCACCGGTGGACAGACTGCAACACACGGGGAGACGTAATTTTCAGCTCCCACCTCTCAGAAAGCAAAGCGGGAGCTCTGTGATGAGACACTCGGGCCAAACGAGCTGCGTTTTCTCTTCCACGAAGACGGATGGTTGCCGACACGTGACTGAAGGAAGGACAGAATTTGTGAGCCCTTTTTTCTTTAATAAAACAACAACCGGAGACATATCTAAGTGTGAGTTAGCAAGAAGAGATCTCTTTAAGCTAGTTTTGTTGTCGAGGAATAAGAAGTACTTCTCCTTCAAAAGCGTTAAGTATGAAAATTGTAACGGGTAAATGAATCAAGAGGGATTACATTATTCAACTTGACGACGTAGAAAAATTTAATCCACGTTAGATTTGAATTACCAAAAAATACACACATCAAGTAAAGTAAGTAAAAAAAGGAAAAACGGAGAGCTCCAGCTTGGCTGTGCATTTGCTTAATTTTTCATCCTACGAATTAAATATTTTGGAGCCTGAGGATGATGATGTTCTAGCAAAACAAATTCAAAAACCCAAACTTTTTTCCTACATTATATAACCTGGAAGGCCTCATTTGCAAATGCAGCGATCAACACCAGGCCTGACTATTTCACACTTGCAGTCAGGCAAATTAAGTTCATTTGATTTAGAAATTCTGCAACAGACTGACGACCTGTCCAGGGTGAGCCCCGCCTCTCACCCGAAACCTTCCCTGGAGACAGGCACCAGAAACCCTCCCGACCCCACTAGGGACAAGGGTGTAGAGAAAATGGATGGATGGATTTAGAAATTCAATTTGATAAGTAAAACACTCTATATAGGTTAATTACACACAGACTGATGCTTTTGTGGCTTTATTACTATTAATTATGATGATTTTCTACCTAGTTAGCGAAAACAACAGTTAAGACATTTTATTAGATCTGACAAACAAAAAAGAAAACAATTTTAATTCAGAAATGTGACGTTAATGAAAAGAACGCCTGCTTAAAAACTTGTTATATTCAAAGGGTACTTCTCCTCTGACAAACACGACTCATTGAAACTCATATTCTGGTTTATAGAATATATATATATATATATATATAATTATTACAGCCGTTTTCTGGCTTTTATTGGTCTCCCGTGTTTCAAATAAATAAGGCTTTACAAAAGCCTTTCTTTTCATTACTATAATTCTATTTTCATAGCAAAAGCTGCACAATCTATTCTGGCAGTGTCGTATTGCATCTCTAGAGGCAGAGTGTTATGTTCCTCTCTCATAATTTGTGTAAAACAGTGAGTGACTTTATGTAAATGAGAAGCTTCCTGTGAGCCCAGTGCTCTAAACCGAAAACAAAACCAGGCAGTTGTTGGTTTTATTTTAAAGACCGACTCAACTGCTACGTATTTACAGCCACGAGAGACTCCTGACTTGCATTTTGTTGAACAATTTTCATGGAGCAAAAAAAACAAAACAAAACAAAAGGTCTTGAAATGTTTTATTTATCCTATAGTCGTGTTTATCTGCTGCCTCGTGAAGGAACACCACATGTTTACCATCCTTTGCCACTTTCACTTCTGATAATGAAACCTCCAGTCAGAAGACAGTGCTGTGAACACACACTGCATGTTGAAAGAGGTTTCTGATGTTAGGGGGAACATTTTGTGATTTCACATTGAATCTATATGTCATTGTTTGATATTTAGGGAGTTTACATGTTCTTCTACTACAATGGATTTGGAGTTTACGTAATGTTTGAGTTCTGCCTTGTTTCATATATTTTGGTTTTCAAATTGACTTGGCCTGTTGACTTATCATTATTATTATATGTTTCCTAAATAGGTTTCAGTCTTCTAGTTATTTTTGGCCAGATTTATTTATGCGTACGAGTTTGGATTTTTGCTCTTTCTAACTTTGCTCTTAAGCAGTGATTTTGGTTTGATTGCAACTGGAGGGAGTGAACACGCTCTCAAATTAACACACAAAACTTTTCAACTTTTATCAGTCAAAACTTAAAATAACCCAACAACAGCGTCTCACTTTCTGTTTGTTACAGAAAGTGAGACCATTTATTACCACTGGTGGCTGTTTATCGATATAGGCAATATAGGCAGTTGCCCAGGGCTGCATTAGAAGTGGGGCGCATAAGCACATTTTTTACTTCTCATTTAACAATCCAGAATGAGTTTTTTTATTGCATTTTTTTGCATGTGCAGGATTTGGTGCCTCCTTGTGTTGAACAGTTTCTGGCAGAGCAATTATTAACTTTCTTATTTTCTTTATTAGTTGTTAGTTAATTTGTTATTTCATTTTGTTTTGATATTTTACTCGTTTTTTTTTTTTTGTCTACGATTAGTTTGTCATTGTGTGTCAAAAGTTAAAGCTGCAGT